CCCCCCCCCCCCATCCTCAAAAGTTTCTCAGCTGAGTTGGGTTGTACTCAGCAAGCGCAGTACATCCCCCAACTTAGATTTGAAAAAAAATCAGTGGATGGTTGTTTTCTGACTGGTCGGCAGACCGCCGACCGGTCTGCCCTACTGGTCGGCTGCAAAACGGTCGCCGGTCAGGGTCGGCGGTTGACAGGTATACAACCCTGCTGAACCGTCTAAAAGCGGTTACAGCTGCCTCCCTCCGAGCATACTAGATGGGTGCAGTTGAAACCGCTTTCATAAGTTTTAACCACTCGGGTCATTTCAGCAGTTTCAAGTCGATGATAGATCCTTAGGTGGGGCCAACTGAAAAAAAATGGTTTCAAAAGGTTCAACCACTTGAGGTCATTTCAGCCATTTCAGACCGTGATGTTTGATGCTTAGATGGCAATTAAAAAAAATCAAAACAAGTGAGATTTTTTTAAGAAGTAAGAAAAAATGTACAAAAAAAAAAATGAAAACCCATATTTCACTCACCTCTAAAAATCCCACATCCAAACATGAAAATCACATGGGAAAAAAAAAAGGGAGGAACAAGCCCTCAAGGGGCCCTATCAGACATCGCATGTTCTGGGCTAAGGCCCCAGCAAGCCAAGTGCCCGCCCTAAGTGAGGGCCTGAATATTCGTCACAGGCCAAAATTTGACATTTCCATATGTGGGTATTCAGGCTCTTGCAGCGCGTTAGTTGGTTGAGTGAACGAGCGAGCCTCACTAAGCTGCGTCGTACAGTTGGCCCAGGCCGCGAAAGTTGTGCCTGGGCACCTACACACAAAGCAGGGCCGATACATTGAGAAGCAGGCAGTCGGCCTTTGGAAAAGCAGTACAGCTGACACATCTACCTGGGGGCCCTGCGCAGATGCAGCTAACAGCCCAAGTCCGGAGACGCAGGCCGCGCCCAACTGTAAAGGGCCCAGGCCCTCAACTGTAAGTCTCGGCCTAGGCATAGGGTCTGAGGCCCAACCGGAAGCTACTGGCAGCTT